TTTTATTGTTCTATGTCAAGTCTACGATGAGCTATCGTGTACACCATTTAACCCTCTTTTTTCGAAGTGCTTCCGCCCATCAGTTGTCAAGCCGCCATTTTTTCATATATTCATTTAAAAAAATACAATTTCTACTTTAATATATATATATTTAATAAATTAGTGTAAATGGATTTTTATAACACTTTGCATTTCTTAAAAAAAAATTCCCGAAAAAGCCTTGAATTTCAGGGTGTCAAAGTGGTGTTACCCTTTAATGAGACAAATTAAAATAGGAGTATGACATATTGTTTCTAATATTATCTAATTCTAATTGTTTATAATATTATTGAATTAACAAGATTATTCTCAATAAAATTGCTGTTAGCTAATGTTAAATATAACATTTTTTTCGTGTATAAAATTTATGATATGTATGTATACCGTGTATTTATATGCTTGTACACACGCACACAGGTGACGAATTACCTAATCGTGGTTTTGATCCCGGTCTGGATACTTACGACTCTCCGCCAGCAGATGGTAGCAAAGTTAAGGTCGATGTAGATACCAACAGCCAAAGATTACAACTGCTGAAACCCTTCGACAAATGGGACGGCAAGGACCTGGAGGACTTAACTGTTTTGATTAAAGTCAAGGGTAAGTGCACCACGGATCATATCTCCGCGGCTGGTCCATGGCTCAAGTATCGTGGACATCTCGACAATATTTCCAACAATATGTTCATTGGGTAAGCATAATCTACGTGAAATAATGACGGATTTGCCAAATATTATTAAACGATTTCGAGGGAAAATTAAATTAGAAAAGCAGCTATTAAATTAAAATTTTTCAAATATATAATATATGTAATATGTATATATATATGTATATATATTTACATATATATATTTACATATACAGAGTGTATTTTAAGTAGCGTCCATGTTCAATAATGGCAAACGTTTCAATCTAGATTATTTTCAGTGTCAATATATAAAACAGTTTCGAATGTCAATAATTTTATTCAAGTTTGAAGGATCGTAAATAGAATATTGTCATAAAATAAAATTTTGGTATTTAATGTCAGAATGTACTAGAATAAAGTAATATTGAGTATCTCGTCAATTTTTTATTTTGATAACTTTATTTTAATATCTTTATACACAGAATAATTATATAGCGTTATTCTTTATTAATTTTTTACAAGGAATAACGCTATATAATTAGTGGACGCTGTTTGAAATATATTCTGTATATGTACATACATATATACATATGTATATTTTAATTTAATATCTGTTTTGTCTAATTTATTTTTTCTTCGAAATCTTTTTTACTAATTATTATTAGCGTTATTCCTTGTAAAAAATTAATAAAAAATAACGCTATATAATTAGTGGGCGCTATTTAAGATTCACCTGTATATACTTTAATAAAATATGATGTGGATTACTGTTCTGGTGAGAATAATATAAGAGGATGCTGTTTTAGTGACTTCAGCATTCCATCTGATGCTATTCTCATCATGTTGTCATTTATATAAACAGCGGAATAATGTTAAATCCACCATATTTTTTATGTAAATACATTTTTTGAAATTATTTGTAACATATTAGTAACGTAATAAATGTTATATTAACCGCGTTTGTCATATGATTTTTTTTTAGTGCTGTTAATTCTGAAAATAGCGAGATGAATAAGATCAGAAATCAACTAACGAATGAATGGGGTGCCGTGCCCGACGTTGCACGCGATTACAAAAAGAAAGGCGTAAAATGGATCGCAGTAGGCGACGAAAATTACGGAGAAGGTTCCTCCAGGGAGCACGCTGCTCTGGAACCACGTCATCTTGGTGGCCGCGCCATCATCGTTAAGAGTTTCGCTCGTATACATGAGACGAATTTGAAGAAGCAAGGTCTCTTACCTTTGACCTTCTCCAATCCTGCTGACTACGATAAAATTCAGCCTAACGATAAGATCAGTCTTCTCGGATTGAAGGATCTGGCGCCTGGCAAGGTTTGTATATTTGGCTAAAATGGGTAAAATGAAAATAACAAAAGAATCCGAAAATTTTAAGCGGCTCCTGAAGTGATGGGATGACCGAAATTACAAGTTAAAATTTTCTTCGAATTGGCTTTACAAAATTGAATACTCTCACAGGATTGAAGTAGACATAAAATAAACATTTGGGATACTCAACTTAAGAAGAAAAAAACAAAAACCTTAAAAAATAATTATGCACATTATTATGTATATGTATAATTTTTAATTTTTTTTCGTTGTTAAACTTAAGTCGATCGTTTTGTATTTTTATCTTATATCTGCTTCAATCCTATAAAAGAATTTTCAATTCTGAACAACCAATTCGGAGAATTTCCTAATCTGTAATGTTAATAATTCCGTCACTTTAGGATTCTTGAAGAACTGTATATTTTATTGCGCATATTTTACCTTTAATTTTCTTACTTTTAATATTTAGCACATAAAATTTCCGAATGTTCAACTTATCTTTTCTTCTGTTTGATATGACTTTTTCAGCCGGTCAAAGCACAAATCAAGCATAAGGACGGCAAAGTGGACACCATCAGTCTGAATCACACAATGAACGAGCAGCAAATCGATTGGTTCAAAGCTGGTTCCGCCTTAAATCGCATGAAAGAGATATCGGGTGGTCATCGATAAGCTGATGACCGAGTGGATATCCATTCAGAAGGGTTGTCATATAGCGCGTAACGCATTTGCGAAAAAGAAAAACATAGTGAATGAGGGAAAAGCCGACCAGGGTAATACACCACGTCATCATTGTCCTTTTGGATAAGCGAATGATACGGATATGATTTATGGTTTAGCCATCGTAGCCCAAACAACGCAAACATCTAAAATATATCATAGAAATACTCACACTATAAAAATATGAATTTAATTGATGTCCATATAATTCTCATCATGTTAATGTTTGTATAAACACGAATTTAACATGACGTGAGAGGATATTGGAATCGGTTGGTAAAACAGCAATTCTCTGTTTGTACAAACAATATCAATACGGTGGAAATTATATAAATATCGAAATGGTGTTAAATCCACATCATATTTTTTAGAGTGCAAAAGGCATCTCCAAAGACAAAATTCAGATATACCTACTTAGGTATATATTTTAGATGTGTGATGTCGCTAGATAAATTAGTTAATTGTTGCCTTTTGCCTCACTTCTTATTCGACAATACTAACCGCTTACACGACGCGGAAAGGATGTACGTTCGCAAGTGGAAACTCTTAACGGAGATAAAGCCTTGTTCTACGTCAATGCGTAATTACGGTCACGTGCGCCGATGCGCGAATCATGTACAGCTACGAGAAGCGTTACTACGTGTATATACATATAATCACCAACGAGGAAACGCCATCGTCATTTTCTAGTTGTTAACTGATTTTAGAAGAATGTACTGTTTCGAAAAAAGCCAAATAAACTATTAGCCAACGAGCGACGCATCCTTAATTAATCTTAATTAATTCCTTCGTTTCAAGCGTTCTCTTTTTAAGGTACGTACTGTTCAAAGAAGATAAAACAATATAAAATTCGAAGAGTTTAAAAAAAAACTTGTTTGAAACGTATTTTGTAAGAGTGTCATAGAAAAAGATGAATTTGTGAGGTAACTTTTTTAAAGCCATAGTTATTCTAGAAAACTCTACCGATCATTTTTTTATAGACAACCAGTATTGTATAATTTGTATATCTATCCATTTTGAATGCTGTTTTACATGTGATTCGAACATCATAAACGTAATATAAATATACATTGCGACAATGAAGTTGCCACTATCAATTTAGAATAAATTAAGTATAGCTATCTGCGTAATGGAGATAAATATAGTCGGAATGGTAAAGTGATAATGTGATGCGTTTGTAATAATGCGATCCGAAAACGTAAAAATTTTTGTTTTGTATTTACAATCAGAGGTACCAGATGTAGTGTTATTAAATTGCACTTGCTATTCATCTGCGATTGTCCGTTATTAAATTAAAGCTTGTAAAGAATTCTGTGAATATTTAATTAGAGGTGTTGCCACTTTTGGATGCAAAAAAATGTGCAATTTTAAAAAAATTTCAAGATTTCTTTGCTGTAAAAAAAATTAAAATATTGAATACAAGATGGCTGATTTTACCTAAGTATATAATTTGAATTCTAGAAAATTAGGTATTAAAGCATTATTTCTTTACTTTAGAAGTAGTGGAAATAAACTAAAATCTGCAGAAATTATTTTAACACAATTAATAACAATGATGATGATAATAATAATAATAAAAGCATATTTATTATTTTTAAAATATTCGTTAAATTTGTTTAAGTTTTAATGCTTTTTTTTCAATCAAGTATTTTGGTATATTAAGATTTAGAAACTTAAAAAGCTGGCAAGTAATTCAACAAATTGCATAAAATTTTTTGAGTCCAGAATCTTTGAAAAATATCTAATTTAAATATTTAATTTGTGTTACCGTGTGTGTATTACAATTTATCAAAATTAACATATGAATTATAAAGAAGAATAAAGATTTTCCATTTTTAATGATACAAAAAAAATTAGCGTCTTTGAAAATAAATGAGATGTAGAGAAAAGTATCAACATTTAAAGATTGTAATGGGGAACAAATGTTTTCAAATTTAGAATTATTATTATAGTTGAAACGATTTTTCTTCCCTATTTAAATGACGAAGCTGAACGGATTTTTTCGATATAGTTACAATAACGTAAAAAAAAAGAAGTCGGATATCCGATTGCTACTATATGGTTTCAAGAGCAAATAAAAATCTAATGGATTTAAGTTTGGGAAAACACGGACCAATAAATCCTGCACGACCTATATTCATTTGTTAGGAAATCATTTATTCAAGAAATTGCTGCCAATACGTTCAACGAGCACCCGGTATTTTTGAAAATGCATGACAATATATAGATATAGGAAAAAACCAGTTTTATTTCCAGCCTTTAAAATTATTTAATCAAAGCTGACAAAATGTGTCCAAACATTTTTACTGTTAGAAACAGTCTGACGTTTTGCTTGTTCTCTTACACAATCTCATTATTCGCCGTTCAATTGTTTTATCGATTAATCAATAATCTACTTACTCTTACATACAGCGTTCCAGTATATTTAACCAGACGCAGATCTTATTTAAATTAAACTCCTACATTTATGTTACATTAATAACTTATTTGCAATAACATGAAGCAAAGGAATCAAGGCGCTGTTGTCGGTGCGCAAAGAATTAACATTTAATACAATAAATTAATATAAAATATATAAAAATGTACGTTTTTGGCTACTTTCTAGCCAATTCTTCAGCGCTAAAATTCTTCTTAGTAAAAATACATTTAACTCACAACATCAACATTTTATAATATAACATAAACAAGATATTCATCTACTAAAATGTCGTGTCATTCGCCGCTATCCATAGGTCCCTCGGAAGCTAGGAGAGGCATTTTTCCCAAACCAATTAGAAGGCTGAATGGATGAAATACCGATCTAGTATTGAAATTTTATTGTAAAATTCTTTTACTAAAGTATAAGGAGAAATAAATTGAGAAAAACTCACCTCAGGAGATCACGCGATGTATCTACATATCAGAAAAAAGAAATATTCAGTTACTCAATAGAAATGTCAATTGATTAAAAAACGGAAATTAAATACGGCGCAGTATACATATTTAAATATTGTCTTGATGATAATCGATATGAGATACAAAGCATATAGACAGAGTCAATCATATGTAAAGGTCTAATAAAGAGAGTTAATTGTTATTGCTTGACTATAGACAATTAGCAAGAAGACATGGTAAACCGAGCTGAGCTTTTCTGTGTCTGTATTTAAATTTATTTTTTTAAATTTATGCTATTATTTTGTCGCTTGATATTTATCATCTCGAAAATTAACCGCGCTTGTAATAATTACGTTCAACATCCAGGATTTTCATGTTTCCAATTAAAAGTGTGACTATGATGCCTGCAGGTCAGTAATAACCGATCGAGTAGAAATATTTCTCTTTATTTGATTCTTTGTGTTCCGCGATTCTGATTTTCAATTGTCTATAATATAAGTCTGTCCAACATACGTTGCATCGCAATCATTGCAGGAAATTTTATATAAGGTAACCAGACCCAATATGTCCCAATTAAGTTTTGCAAATTTTTCTAATTTTTTACTGAGTTCAAAATAAAAAATTAGCAGTTATATACTAAAGGAGGAACATTTCTAAACGTTAATAAAAAATATGAAACATTTTCAAGTACATATTTATATAGGTGTAGTAAAGATTTTTATAAAAAGTGGCATTAATTCCGCGCATGCACTACACAGCTATACTGTAACGCAATCATAAACCAAAGCCAAAATAGTCAGATCATAATTAAATCAATCTTCAATACGATGCGATTAAGCATCTTAAAAAACCTGCGAAAAACTTATTGCGAAGAATATTATCTCAGCCAGGATTTGAATCTGGGACCTGATAAACATGATAAACTTATTTTACACTGATATGGCATCAAGAGACTTAAGATTTTGCCTATATTAAGCCATATAATATCTCGTATTTTAAATAACCTGCATATATAATCAATTTATTACGACCTCGTAAGCACAGCGGTACGTTTCAATCTTACTTGGTCTTTCTCAACCGCAAAGGTTACAAAAAAATTCGATAAGATAAATACATGAATGCGGTAAATTACAATAAAAATAACTATCGAAAACGCTAGACGATTTAATACAGATAAAAAGCTAGAAACCGCTGTGTAATGCTGGGCACAGACATAATTCTTAAGTAAGCGCTAGTTTGCTGATCGGAAGTAGGATGACAGAAAGAGCACAAATGCCCTATGTCCAAAGTTAAAGTTGTCAATCCTTTCATCGTTAAGAGGCGAGAAGGGGTGGAGTCAGATAATTAAAAAGGAAGGTCCGTAAATTGAAAAAAATAAAAAATTCGATAAGATAAATACATGAATGCGGTAAATTACTGTACTACTTCTATCGGACTAACACCTCTTTTTATTTTTCATTTTTTTCAATTTACGGACCTTCCTTTTTAATTGTTTATATGTGTGTGTTTTAATCGGTTCAATCCGCGCCCGGATTAAAAAGTAATCGGTTTTAATTCCGAACGAATTATAATTGATTTTAATATTATTTTTGCGAATTATTTCCAATCTGAAATCATTATATTCTAATCCATATTGTTGTCAATTCAAATAAATCCGAATAACCGCATGGATATATAATATCCATAATAATCCGCCTAAACCGTATATATATTTTTTAACATCTAAGTTTGTTTCAGTAGATCGGAAGAGCACACG